TGATTAACTCTCTCGTGTAGAGTGTTTGTAGTTCAGTGCCATCTGTGGTTTCAGGCATCCATTAGGAGTCTTGGAAGATAGTCCCTCTGAATAATCGGGATTACCTTATAGTATATGTTTGCTGTTATTAGGAATAGTTGACCTTAATATGAAATAACTCATAAGAAACCCAAAATTGAAAAAGTTCTCTTATAGGAGAGAGAGTATACTCTTCTGTTTGGCACAAGGAGTAAGTACTATTAATAGTAACTTTGGGAAGGAATGTTTTATATCATCATATGTAGAAGATCTTCTAATAGTCAGAGATGTTCAAAGATAGAATAGGCCACTTGTCCTAGGAACAAGCCGGAAGACTGATTTAGTTGCAGGTAGGATTCAAGTGTCCATGGATTGTTGCAGAAGGGGAACTTTTAAGGTTTTATTTAGCTTAATGAGTCAATCACTTTATATATATTCAAAGTATTTTGATTATAAATACATCATATAAACTACTAATCATATTTACAGTCTTTCCTCAGGCAAAGAGGCAGCAAGAAAAATGAGAATTTAAGACTGAGCATTTCAGTAACTAAGTACTGGAATTTTTTTTTTTTTAATTACAACATCCCAGTGTGATGGGACATAACAAGACATGTATTGCAGTATATATTTCCAATTGAAGAAAGACAAGGCATGGCCCTGGGAAATGTGTGTTAGCTGGAGAGAGCATCGGAGGTAGTTCTGATCACCCTAATGTGAAGGCAGACATCATTTCAGTAGGCTCTACATCCTATTAAGTAACGTGTCTCCAAATTTTGGTGCAATGCATGAGATATGTCATCAGCATTTCTTGAATAAAATAATGAAATGTTTATTATAATCTTTTTAAATTTCAATGATCATCAAGGGGAAATTAAAAGATGACAGTGCAATTGAACATCTAATTCCTATGAACTATGCTGGGCACTGTTATATGAAAGATCATTAAAAATTATCACCAAAAATTTATTTTTACTCCAAAGCATACCTGTCTCACTGGGAATAAATTTAGTTACTTTCTGTACTTTCATGTTTTCTAACAAATCTGGCCCATGTCACCAGACCATTGGCCTTGGCCATTGTTTTACTATCTATATCTGAAAACCTGTTCTATAGGTAGAAAAAAAAATTAGATTTGCTGTTTGCTTTTAATGGGATAGTCTCTTTGAAAGGTAGTCTTTTTTATTAGTTGTGAAGATTAATTCCTGTTATTCTTCCCAAGTAATATTTGATTTTAACTTTTCACAAGGAAGGTAATTTGCAATCATAGAATGCACAGTTACTTGTATCCCTGATCAAGGTACCATTAATCACGAAACAAACAAAAAAACTCATTCCTATTCTTATTTCCACCTTTCTTTAAAATAATGAAAAATCTCAGGAAGTCAGATTTCAGACTTAGTTTGGGTTCACATATTATGTATTTTGTCATGTTTAAATAAACACTTTCAAATTTTTTTTTAATTTCAACTTTTATTTTAGATTTGGGGGTACATGTACAGTTTGTGACATGGCCATATTGTGTGACAGTGAAGTTGGGGCTACAAATGGTGCCATCACCCAGGAAGTAAGCATACTATCCAATAGATAGTTTTTCAGCCCTTTGCCCCTCCTTCTCTCTTTCCTCTAGTAGTCCCCAGTGTGTATTGTTTCAATCTTTATATCCATGTGTACCCAATTTTCAGCTTTCACTTCTAAGTGAAACATGATTTCCTTCTTTTTTATGGCTGTGTAGTATTCCGTGGCATATATGCACCACATTGTCTTTATTCAATTCACAGTTGATGGGCACTTAGTTTGATTCCATGTCTTTGCTATTATGAATAGTGTGACAATAAATATACAAGTGCCTGTGGGTTTTTTTGGTAAAACGATTTATTTTCTTTTGGATATTTACATGGTAATTGGATTGCTGGGTCAAATGATAGTTCTGTTTTAAGTTCTTTGAGAAATCTCCAAACTGCTTTCCACAATGTCTGAACTAATTTACATTCCTACCAGCAATGTGTAAGCATTCTGTTTTTTCCACAGAGTCATTAGCAAGTGTTATTTTTTTACTTTTTAATAGTAACCATTCTGACTGGTGTGAGACAGTATCTCATTGTGGTTTTGACTGCAGTTCTCTGATGATTAGAATATACAGTTTGTTTTTTTTTTTACGTTAAAGCAGGAGATAACACTTAAATTTTGTTTAGCTTCCATGTTGTCTCCTGTGTAATTAATGTCTCTAATGTGAAGGAAAATTTTGTCATAAGCTATAACTAAATATTTGCTGAGTGGGAAATTATTTGTCTTTCCAAATTATGTAGTTATGTGTCTTAATGTTTTACGTTAGTATTTAAAAATTAAACTGTTTTCTTGCAGAGAAGTAGTACAGATAGAATGGGAAAAGTGACAAATTCGGAGTCAAAATGTTAATTCTAGTGTTTTTCTTTAGCAATAACATGACTTTGAGCAGGTCATTTTACTTGGCTATGTATCTGTTTTCTCATCTATAAAATGACAATTTCTGATTCAGAATAAGATTTTGAGGATACTATGAATGACACGTGAAACCATTTTTTCTAACTGAGCTAACATACAATTTTTTCTCAATAGCAAATCAGAAATAATATACTATATGTATATAGATATATGTATGTGTGTGTGTGTGTGTGTGTGTGTGTGTGTGTGTGTGTGTGTGTGTGTGTCTTTTATTAACTTGGAATCATGGCTTCGCATATGTATTGATCCAGAAAAGACTTTTTAGGTCATTAAGTTTATCTTCCCTCTTTTAGCTCTTGAAAAAACTCAGATATAGGACAATGTAGAGACTTCTGAAAGCCAAACAAGAATAAATGGCTAAACAGTAGCCAAGAATTCAATTTTTTTAGATGATTTGGAAATGTCTGCAAAATACAATGTTTAAATGTTTCTATCTTATAGCTAAGCATCTCATGCAGTACATAGGCTAACTCTAGAAAAGATTATTTTTATTATACCTTAAATACATCACCAGTAACTTTCTGAAGCCAGTATCAAAATAGTTTTTTTTTTTTACATTTTTACTGGCAAAGTTAAGCAGAAAGTGTTTATCTGTATTTTGCTCTTGCATACATTTTAGCTTAGTACTTGCACTAAACTATAAAGATACAGGTAAAGTAATTTGCAGCCTTGAAGCCATTCACAGTTGTCCTTTATATCAACAGGAAACAAGATATGTATTCACCACTAGTGTTTCTTGAGCTCCTGGTAGGTGGAATAATATGTACTGTGCTTTTTCTGTGCCTGTTTTAAGTACTTTATACGTCATTTAAAGCTCACACAAACTCCATGAAATGAATGTTATCCTTTGCACTTATTTTGCTAATGAGGAAATAGAGACCCGGAAAATTTAAGTATATTGCCCACCCTTAGAAGCATATTAAGAGGCCAAGTCCATGAATACAACTCTGGCCATTTTGCTCCTGAGTCTGTGCATTTAACTACTTGATCATGCTACTGGATGTTTAAAACTCTCTGTTTGGTGGTGTGGTTATTGTAGTGAGTGAAGCAGACAAGATCTATGCCTTCATCAAAATAGATAACAATACAAAATGTAACTAAGTGCAGAATTTTTGCTGTATCAATAAGTTTTCAAAAAGGGAGTAATTCGATTTTTATAGTATGGTAATGGAGAGCTTTGCAATGAAAGTCATGGATGAAAAAGTAGCGGATAAGTTTTCCCTAACCACTTATGGCATACTTAATAAGCAGAATTTTAAGGCAAAACATACAGACAGAAAAGTAACCACAATAATTAAATGATGAAAGAGTTAGAGTAGTTTAGTTGGCATGATTGGTACACAGACATTACTTTTTGTCATGCCAAAGTCCATAAAATAGGACTATCTTAGTCCATATCTCAGCCTCTAATAAAGTTAAGCTGGGTTATTCTTCTAGCTAAAGCTGGAAGTAGAAAATATCTGATTATGGTAGTTTTAAATGCAAGCCTAAAATGTTTGTGTTTGTCCTGAAAGCAACAGGAAGTCACAGCTAGTTTTGAGCAGACAGGACCAATTAAAATAATATTTTGGAAATGTGGATCAAACTGTGGTATATATGAGGAAGAGAAGCAAGGTGGTCAATCAGAAACTATTGCAAGATGTGTGTTTGAAATTAGAACCACTGGTAAATATCAGGAGGAAAGATCAGATGTGAAAAGAATGAAAAAAAAAAGATAGCTTGATTATTTAGTTGGTATAATTATAATTTCTTAGAATCAAATAAGAATATATTCTCATGTAAATACCCCCAAATATTTCATGTTATAATGTTTTCTGACCCACTCTGCTAGTCTGCTTCATTAATGAAATGGCAGTGAAACAATAAATGCACGTGAAAGAGCTGAGGATGTGCATTTCCAAAAATCACTCCAAGGCATGTTGATGTTTCAGGAGTTAATAGTCCTTATTAAAAAAATGACTATGCACCATTAATTCTTTTAACTAATGCCCATTTTGTCAATTTGCCAACAAACAAGAGAAAAATTTTGTTCTTTAACATATTTCGGCTATCTTATTTCCAAGGCGCCTAAAAATAAATTGTATTATTGAACAATGTGACTAATGAGATATGACTCAACAAGAAACTGAGATGTACACTATTTTCTTTAGGAGTTAAGAGTTACCAAAGAAAGGTCAAATCATAAGGCTGATTATGCCTTTGATAGTTGTGAAGTGGAAAGAATTGCATACATATGTAAAGGATAGGTAACTGACAAGTAGCTAAACATCAGATATGAAATTGATTTTATTAGCAATACCTTCAATCTAAGCAATTGTACTTTATGGCTGATTTGTGTGTGTATCTATCTATCTATCTATCTATCTATATATATGTATATATATATATATGTATATTTAGATAAAATACAATATAAAAAGAAAAATGAAGATAAATACTTAGTGCTATTATCTATATAGATAATACTGTTGAATAAAACCAGCTCATATTCTACACAGGTATGACATAAAAGATGATTACACACTAAGAATTAAAAAGACCATGAGTACAGATGAAGGCACCTATATGTGTATTGCTGAGAATCGTGTTGGAAAAATGGAAGCCTCTGCTACACTCACAGTCCGAGGTAAGAGATTTAAGATGTCAAACATAATTGAACCAGGAGACAAATATTTGGTTAAATTGGTAAGTGAACTTACAACTTACAATCAAATTAGTGGCTTATGCTGTTTTGTTGTACTAAAATGCCTACATTTTGTGTCCTCTTTATTATTAATTGCAATAAAATTAGTTTCAATATTTGATTCCAAATGATAATAATTTAAAGGGATTAATTCTCAGTAAATTGCTTATATGGTTTGAAGTTAATAGTTTATATGGCTTAAAAGTAAATCTTATAATTAGAAACGATAAGTACTACTCTTTTCATTTCCATTGCTTTCAACTACTTACTGCTTTTAAATGTCATCAGTTTCAAAGGTACTCCCGTGTTTTCTGTTTACTAGTTTGTCACTTTATACTAGTAGCATACTGTTTTGAAGTTCTTTTTAATGTCAGCATTCAAAACAGCAATCTGAAAAAGACTAGCAATGCTTCCAAAGGTGAACATGAATACAGAGGAGCTCTCCAGCCCTGAGATAATCTGGTTTAGAGACTGATTTGTGAAGTTCATTGGCCTTAAATAATTGAAATAGTCGGTGCTGCTCTTGTAATAACTTTCACTTTCTGGGTGTCATGCACTTCCTCGGTTGTGGAATAATGTTCATTTATAGAGTCACTGGAATTTCTTATAAAGGAAAGAAAGCATTACTTAACTTTACAGTGCACTAGAATAGATTAACTGTCTTTTCAGTGGAACTTTTTGATAACATGAGGTAAATTATATAGTCCAAGGTACCAAGAAGTACCATATAGACAGTTACACTTATTCTTGAAATAGACATTACCCATGGCATCATTTACACTCATAGAACATCAAACAAAGATAGGCAAGCACATCCTTCTCCCACTACTAACTGCTTCCTTCTCTCATCCTTGGCGATAAAGAGATTGGCTGCATGTTTTCGTTCAAGTCTCAGTTACATCTTACCCTGCTTAGTCATACCTCTGACCCTTGTGCAGCTTTGCTCCCAGAAGGTTTCAGAACGTTAGGAGAAAGATTTGGAGAAGTTTGAAGCTACAAGAAGGGTGTCAGGGATTCTCAGGTTAGTCCTTTTTGTGGTAAGAAAAAGGATTTTTGCCAGATTTATGATTTGTGCTTCAAATCATACAAAACTCAGCGACCTCCAGGTAATTATTAGGAGACAGGCACTTTGGATACCTGGAAAAATATTCTTGCTTTTCATACTGCTCAACTGCTCCATTCTTATTTCACTTAATCCATTTTTTCTTCTCCAGACATTCTAGTGTGAACTTAGATACAAAACATATTTAGACAAAACTGACAGCTAGTTGCATAAAAACATTTTCACTCTTCATTAGTTAGCAGGTCATAAAGAACTATGATCATATATGAATCATATATATATAGATTATGTAAGATAGAAATCTGATAACCTTTATAAGCCAATGAACACACTTTATTTAACCCACACTCTACATGGATGACTTCATATGTTTGTCATGTTTTCTAGGCAGCTTATTGCAAAAACAATTTACTAGACCAAATTATCCCCAAAGTTTTCTTTTTCTTTTTTTTTAAGTAAATGGAAAAAAATAATAAACAACCAACCAATAAATTTTCCATTCGAGAAATATTTGCTGACGAAACAAATAGTGAGAGAATGTGAGGAGCTGTTTGTTTGTAGAAGCAGCAGGGTTTCTTTTATATTTGAATGCCTGGATGAGTGAGACTTGAAGTGATCTGTTTGCTTTAAGACCTTTCCCAGCTAATTGTTTTCATAATTTGTCGAAAGTTTCAGCCTTAACATTTCATTTAACAAAGCATGCTCCTCAGATGGGGGTGTTTGAAGCTAACTTACAAAACTAATAGAAAACATTGTTTGTTTTTAATAGGGTTTTTTGTTTTGTTTTGTTTTTTAAATCAGCAAATCTTAAATGGCCTCTCCCCTAATCTGTATCCTGTAGATGGATTAGAGTGTTTATTCTTTGTGGTATGTATTTATCACCTCCCTAAGACTGAAACCTCAAAAACTGGGTTTTAAAAAAATCTCCTTAATACCGTATAATGTAGAGTAAAATACTGTTTAAAAACGTTTTTGTACCATTAGGAAAAGCATTTGGGTTTTCTCATGCTAAGAGATTACAGGGGAAAAAAAAGACAATACTGTTATCTATGACTTATTTTTTTTTCTGTGCTCATTTTTCTATGCACACAAATGAAATGTGCAGGCTTTCTTTGGATTGTTTTATTAGAACAGGGTCAACCGACCCAAGAGGCCATGTTCATTTTCATCCATTTAATGTGGAGACACAGTTTAGTTTAATTTGCTGATTTTGAAAACATCCACCTGCTGGTTTTCTTCAGGATGAAATGTTGCTAATGTAACAAGGACAAAAAAATTTATTGTGATGTTTCTGCTAAAATTTATCATAACATTCACATTAGTCAATTGGAAAGAAGGTAAGGGAGTTTATTCTTAAAATTTGAAACAGATCCACTTTGATGTTTCCCATTTCAGAAATGTGGTTTAAAACAAAACAAAACAAACAAACAAAAAAAAACCATGAAGTGAAGCCAAAGATCAAGAAGCTCCCTTTGCGGACTTTGCAAATGTAAAATTAGGAAGAAATAAACTCAGTCAACAACAAACCTCCTACCATCTTTATTCTAATCAAATAATTTATTAATAAAACTTTTAAAGTGACTAAAAAGTGACAACACAAGCTGCATATTCATAAGCACATTTTTCCCATTTTAAAATTTTTAAAATTTGCTTTGCATAAAGATCCGATTGGACAAATAATCTTGCTTCTTGAGCAATAAGGCCTTAACATTTTTGGAATTATTCTATACTAAAATAAAAGAGATATATTTTATTTATTTAAAACATGATTTCTCATGACAGTTTCTTTTTTTTTTTCTTTTGTTAATATCCTAGACTCAAAACACGTTTCTGTTTCTAAAGGAAACATGTTTGAAATTCAGCTTGAGGTGGCAAGCTGAAAAGCACAAATTCAAAGATGAAGGACAAAGTTCTTTTTCTACTGGACATTGGCAAAATTAAGAGAAATTTCATCTGTTAGAACAAGCCACAAGTTAACATTGTTAGTCTGTTATCTCTTTTTGAGAGTTAATCTTGCATTCTGCTCCCCACTCCCCTGCAAAATGAAATAAATTATGGTACATTAGATAACTTACTCCTCTTTTCCTCTTGCTATAGAAAACAACAGGAATGTTAGGACACATCCACTAAACTGGACTTTTCAGAGCACTGCTACAATTGCCTTATTGCCTATTGTCAGAATCTTTCCTGTTTCAATTGTGAATATTATAGACCATGGCTCTCATATAGAGACAAATAAATTTTTATTTTTAGGGGTTGCACAAAGCTAATATTATGATGTATCTGTTAAGCGAATATGTGTAAATATGTTTTCAATGGCTGTTCCTATCTTGCCATGCCCAAAGAGCCATCGTCAACACAAAACTATTGATATATTCCAGAGTCACATTACATATGCACTGGGGCTGTATCCACTGGGATATGGGCGAAACACTGTTGAAAAAATTATATTTTTAATGTTAGAGTTCATGAAAGTTCATATACTACTAAGTACATTTCTTCTTCATTTGGATAATGGGATCACATGTTTCACAATATTTGTCTACTGCTTTTGCATAAAATGGTTTGCCATCTAAACTGATAGGGTGTTATTCCTTTTAAAGAAATATTACGAAGCCCATGTGTATCTCTTCCAATTTCTTTGCATTAATAACTGGGGCAGCCTATTACCACTGATTTTAGTGATTGAAAGTTATGGTATAATAAAAAAATGATAATTTGCTGAAGCAGCAGTTTGAAAGCCATTCTCAGTGTGAGCAAGAATCAACTTGTCAGTCATTGTTTCCTGCCCTCTGCCAAAAGAAGAAAAAAGCCTAACAGTAGTTAGGGAGCTACTGAGTTGAAATCTCTAAGGATGTTCCAACATATTTGTTATATTTCCATACACCCTGTCCACAGATGAAAAGTGATGTGATCTTAACTTATTACTGACTGAAAAGCAGCATCAGGGGCTTTTCTGTAGTCCTTGTAATGGTTCTGACTAACCATGCTTAAAATCCAATTGCTATTTAAATCAGACAGCTAGGCCCTCTTTTATTGACATGACATTTGTTAGTCTGTGACTTGAATAGTTATATTCATCAGGTTTTTAACTTTGGAATAACACAAGGCTGTTTACTCAAGATCTTTGAAATAATAACTATAGTAAGTGATGATGATAAGACTTTGCCTAAAATATCTCTCAAATTGCTTACAGTCAGTCCTCAGAGTCAAAGTAATTATTTTCCTAGAATTAAATTTGTAACTCTCAATTTTATCAGACTCAGGCATCTTGGTCATACTTGAATTATGAGACTAGAAATCACTCTATTGTCCATACTTAAATGTAACATTACACATCATGCATTCTGATAATTTTTCTTTCTTTTTTTTAATTTCTTTTTTATGTTCTCACCACACCATTGTAATGTCTACAGCTCGCCCTGTTGGTAAGTAGCCATCCTTCTATCCACTAAGCATGGCTTTGCACAGTGCATCATAACTCATGCATAGTAAGATTTTACAGAATGAAATGTATTTATTTTACCCATGTTAAAATAGTACTTGAGACTGTCTGCTGTAACAGTTGCTCCTGTGTTTTTTTTTTTTTTTTTTTTTAATCACTTTGATAAATAGTGACTTTGGCTACATAGCAGTAAGTAGGTAACAAGTTTTATATAAGAGAATAAATGAATGATTAATGTTTGTGAACTGCTGGCTTTTCTTACAGGAGAAAAATATATTGCATTAGAATACAATAATAAAGCATTGCTGTCCTTTTTTGTATGTATAAAATAATCAATTATTAGTAATATTTGATGTTAAGATAAAAAGTTATGAACTAAATTAAAAAGTACTACAACTTTATGCACTTCTTTTAAGTTACTCAGAGTCCCAGTATTTTAGGGATATTTTTAGCTGCTGCATATTTATTGCCTGCATGCCTATTTAAACAAAATTTAGTAAAATGCTTCAAGTAGCTGCTTACCCTAAGTGGGGGAGGGAGAGTGGAGCTGTGTTCTTTAGCATGAAAAGTTAGTGCTTGGGGTTTTAATATATCTTATTTTTCATTTGGCTTTGTGAAATCAAAGAACATTAACAGCTTTCTTTTGCAGATATTTAAGTGGTAATTATTTGCAAACATTTGGAAGATAACATTTTTTGATTCATTGATTTAGTAAGCTTTCTGCATCTCTTTTAAGGTTTAGTTTAATCCACCAATAACTATGTTTAAATCAATCTTGGTAATTGTGTCACATGTAAATGAATCGATGAATGCACAAATGGATGGATGAAAGAGTGAAGGAATTTAGTGCACTGCTTCTTTAATATACTAAAAGATACTTTAATAACAATTTATTCAATTTTGAGGGCTTTATAAATTGTCCATCTAGTTTCAAAAGCTTTCTTAATATACTGGCTTGACATTGTTGACACTTGATAATATATGTTCGTTCAGACTCACACATTTTTTTCCCCTTTGGCTGAAACAAACATGGATTTTGTTATTAAGCAGTATGTTTTTACATTGTCAGCAAATATAGTAAACATACTTCGGTTTCCCAATCTGACTTTCTAATCTGGTGTTTCTGAGCAATACTTCCTTTTGATTAGTAATTTAATATCCCTTATGCTCAGTGACCTCCTCTATAAAATAGAGATAATTATACTGACTTATCGAAGCTGTTGCAGGAGTGGGTTGAGTTTAAGATTGATTTTATATGTAAAAGGCATTTTGTATGCCAATGTTGGTAGCCATCGTATGCCTAGTTTCTGAGGCATTTCTTCACATTTTAATATTTTGGAAATAAAGCCACGGCTTACAATTAATCGAAACACAACTTCAGGGCTTTTTTTTTTTTTTTTTTAAATAATGATGAAATCAATTGTGCTTTGTACAATTGATGTTTGAAAATTCAAGAATATATTGTAATAAATTTTAAACCTTATTTCCTTGTATCTGTAAGGATTCCTATTAATGATAATTTTATGTGTCTTTTGAATGACATACAAAATTAAGAAAAGAATGAGAAAGAATAAGATGCAGCAGCAATAGACAAAGAAAGAACTGATGGTAGAATACATGACCACTCTGTTAGATTTCTTTTCCTCAACCTCTGTGAGCTAGTTTTCAGGTTCAGAAATTCACTCATTTATGTGTCAAATAAGAAAGCATGTTATTACATATAATAAAATAAAATAAGTGGAAATATTTGTATATAAATTATATATAACAATGTTATCGATTATATATATAATAAAATATATTAAGTGGAAAGATTTAAAACAATCTGACACTTTTTCAGAATTATTGAGACTATGCAATACAACATCTTTGTAACCTTATTTAGAAGTTTTTTAAAGATATTAAACATCACAGTATTTATAGGAGATATGAAAAGAGATGAATGATTGAAAACATTTCTCAAAGAAAGGGTGATATTAGGTATTAAAAAATACAAGTTGGTTTTGCATTGGCAGCGGTTGCCCTTGGAAGCTAATGACTTTTCAAATGAAAAGAAAAAGTCACATTTAAATTATAGATTTTATATACAGAAACCTCATGCCAGTATACTATGACCACTTGATTTATATTATCTCACAGATTTTCAGAACATAGAACAGTATGTTAATAATTTCTAATATATTTAAAACCTTTAAATATAGAAAAAAAGTACATTGATTTCAAAATGTGATATACACAGTGTATTGAGATGTATCTGTCATCTGCAAGATGTTTCAAAAGTTATTTCCATTTTTTATTCCTGTTTGAAATGATTTCTTAAATTCCCATTGGACTGGAACTAAAGAATAGCTTCTTGACACATTGTACTTTATTCTGGGGAAGGCTGTCATTTCATAAATCTATCTCAAATGACTTATGACAATGTTCAGAAATATAAAGAACTATACTTTAAACTTGACAACTACTATTAATTTTAAAAACTGAGTGTTGGTTATGTTTTAATTGGATTGCCAAAGAAGAGATATAATAAGGCAATTAGCCTCCTTTTTTTGACTGTATTTCTTACATTAATTTTAGTTCAAGAACATAGATATCTGAACATATATACAGTCAGAAAGTATAAGTCAAGTAATGATTAAATGTTAAAATGATAGAAAAACTACATTATTATTATTATTTATATTTGTTAATGCATCTAAAGGCATATTTTTCAACTTTGAAGCTCTTACCAACAGCATAAATGGTGTTCTGCAAAGCAAAGACCACAGAAAGGGGAGAAAAACCAGCTTTTAGTTCCAATATAAGTTAGGTGAAAAAATGTGTACCAAGCATATAACATTTAGAGAAAATTCAGAGCATAGTTTCTGCCTAAAGCTTTTGAATGAAAATTAGAAATCATTGCAGATTCTGGAATACTTTGAAATTCCAAAGCCAATTGCGACATTACCTACTGGGTGAAACTTCTTGATGGTCTGTGTAGAAAGCCCCATTTAGAAATCATTGCAAACACCCAAACAGAATTTTGTCCAAATGGATGACTCTTACGAGATGCGTTTGCAGTAAAGAATTCGCAATTCTGTGCAATCACAGTTGGAATAAACACCTCTGGCCAGTTTTAGTTTTCCTCTAGGCGAAGTTAGAGGATGCTCTAGTGTGGGAGGTATTACTGAAAGCAGACATTCATATACTTGCCAGTGGAGAAAAGTGCTTTACAGATTTCACTTGCTCATCTGCAATGTCACCAATGGGTCAAAAAGAGCTCTTTAATCTAATGTTCATATTTGCTGGTTGCCACAAAATCTAGGCAACAATCGCTTTGATAATTAAAAATCTGCAAGCCCTTCCTGTAGTTTCGACATTTTACTATTCCAAAGGCGTTCTTTACATTAAAAGCAAAAGTACATCATAGGATAGTTAACTATGAATGCTGAAATATTCATTTGTTTATTTGGAAAACTCTTCTGATGAGGAAACTGACAGAAGAAAATGGTCTAAATAGGGATAAATATCTTGCTTCCTATACCCATCTGTCTTGTTTTTCTATTGGAAGCCTCTCCTGAGCTTAAAAATAAAAAAGAACATCTATTTTGGAGATGGGCAACATGTTTTTTTCCTAGCAGCAACTCAAAACATGATGAGTAATTTGGAAAGGAACTGTCAAATCTACCAGCTGCCTTGCTTATAAAGCTGTCCTGCTCCGTTTGGTAACTTGTATACCATATGCTAGATGCTGATTGCCTGGAGTAGAAAACTGAAAGCTGAGTACTTCAAGTAAACTTGTTTAAAATACCAAAAACAAACTGACAGTGCACAACTTGATGGAAACTTCTAAGTATTTTCTAACTTAGTGACTGAAAAATATGTTTCCTTTTGATGGAAAAATATAATTGGCCACACAATAATTTGTAAGTATTGAGAAGTATGTAAGTTTTTTGGCAAAATTCGCCACTTAAAAATTATTATTATTTTTTAAAAGCAGCAGCCACTACTCTAAACAGAAATCCATAGGGACATATTTTTTAATGTTTCAACTGCTTAACCACAGTAATTAAATATACCATTTTAGAAAGTTCTATTTTATGAGTTGAAGCAAAGTTTTGTTAAAGCTTACTGTAAAGCATTTTATTCTGAGGCCACCAAGAAGTCAAAAAAAAAAAAAAGTTTGTGATTGAAAAATTCATTCAGAGTGAATTGTAAATCTGACATTACTTAAAGAATAATGTAACAGATATTTTGATACCCCCATCTTCCACCCCAACTCGAAATTTGGAAAATATAATGTACAGTATATAATTTAATATTGGAAATATCACAGTTTTTAAAAATCAGAAAACTTACAGGTATTGTGTATTAACTTTTTCATGTTTGGATGCACTTTTTGCAAAAGATATCCTAAGTGTACCTTGGAAGGAGACCTAGAATTTTATTTCTTGCATCCCTTTTTTCTTTGGACAAGCTGTTACCCCATGACCTGAGGTAATCATCTCCCTCCTGTGAGCTCTTAATGTTTCCTGCACCTGGCACTAATTAGCTACTTTATGCAGAGTTCCATTTAATTATTATTAAGCATCACGTTTTCCATTGCTCCATATGTTTTGATTAAATGGTAGGTTTAAAAAAGGCATTCTGTTTTATCTTCCATATTCCAACTGAGTTTCCATAATGTGAAACATTTAAAATATCTTAAGCTAATGTTCATTTCTAAAGTGAAACACCAGCACGGGTTACTTCTCAGGCTGAGCGGGTTGTAGCCTTGTGTACTTGACAATATCTGTCCATTGAACAGGAGGAAAGGCCAGATCTTAAATTACTCTCACACTTTTTTTTCCCCCATCTCATAACTTGGTAAAAATGTTCTATTGTCTTGGTATTGAATGGTACTATAGTGAAGTCTGAAACTTAAAAATACATATTTTTTTTCTTGGCTCGGATGTTCTTTTACCATATGAATATGCATGTAGTCCTTTCTTTCAAGTAATTTTG